CCGTCCTTTACTGCTTCCGAACTATGGAGTAGAACTGAGCCTAAGTTGACTGGAGGTATTCAAGTACACCAATCTAACCACTGATGAAGTTATCGATGGAAGAGGAGAGAGCTCATGGGAAGAGAGATGGAGTTTCCTCAGAACATCGATGACACCTTTGGGAATGAGAAACATCACGGATTTCACGGTACCAAAATGAAATAGGGGCTCTTCTTCAATCAAGATCTGAGGTATTAAAAGACCCTGATTCAGGAAGATTAGGTAGTTCAAGCCAAGGCCAGCAACATAATCAAGTAAACCCTCAGATATGTTCGCGTTGGAGAGCAAGAGGGCTTCTCGGGGGTTCAGAAAACCCATCTAAACTCCCAATAAATCTATCCAATATTCAACTGAAGTATTTCATCACTTAGAAGGGGGGTCATAAGCTTTGGTTCCTTACTTCAGTCAGCCTTAGGTCAAGTGAAATTACACACATTGTGTCGAGTTTGGGGCATGAAGTCAGGTTCTGGTCTTACTGACTTACGAACTGACTATGAGAACCGAAATTGGACATGGAGGTTGAGAAGACGACAAGGAAGCCGAGATAGCATTGCGAGATAAGAGGAGATTGTAGGCGTCTGATCGAGTAGAGGGTAATTTGCCCACTGTTCACATCCCCTCACTTCTAATCATGCTCGGCCACCAACTTCGATATTGACCATGAACTGAACGCACCCCAAACATTACTGCCTGGCTTCTCTTCAGTTTGTATCATCAATCTCCACCCAATGGTGTCATCCTCAGAATTCTGCTCGTGAATTCCTCCCGTCCAAGTCTAAAACCTACCCCCTGAGGGCATTTGAATGATGTGAGGGCTTCTTGCTAGAGCAGCTTCTGCGTCGCCCATCCACCTTTCCAAAGAAAACATCACTCTTGTAGGACTTGGGAATTCCGTCGTAGTTATGGGCTATCGAATTCTAGTTGTATGTACCTCAGTTCGATTCATGGTTGGAGTGTTCCACGAATGCGACGCACCTAAACGTATTCCTACATAATCTTGAGGAAGACTGTCTAGGGTAGGCAAAACCCCTAAGATCTTGATCATAAGCGACAAAAATATGCATGTAAATCGAATCTAAGCTTAGGGGAGTCTCTACTAAGTTTAGACTGGTATTATCTTTCAAAGTCTTGAGTCTTGCTCCTTGATGAGTGTGAATTCAGACCCCTTCCTAAATATTTGGAATGAAGAATGGCGCTATCGAGTCCCTTTTCTGCGATCTCCCTTTCATTCGTTTCTTTTGGCGTCCTGAGACATGCGAAGATTTGACATGGTGTCCAATACGACAAACGACATCAATTAAATAGTTCATGTCTCTAAATGCCATTGATCGACAGAAAGGATGTTGATTAGTTGACTGTGAGACATGGTTTCACATCAGCCTTGCAAAGGGTCGTGTTCATCAAACCCAATCCCTTGATACTTGGCTTTTGCCTCCCTTGCCTCGAGTCCCTATTTCCTGTCCACGACGGCAAAAATGTCATGATCTCAATTGTTCTTCTTTTCTAAGCTGCCGCAAGATAATTTTCTAAGATCTAATCGTGCGTGTTGCGTAGTTAGGTATACAAGATGGGTGTGGCCTCAACCCTCATGTCGCGATTCTGCAGGATCTTACCACCGGTTACCATCATCACGATATGCTTCTACTTCCTTATTAAACTCTCCCTCTTTTCCAACGCAGTCGCACCCGATCCTGCGAGATGGAAAAATCACGCCTTGGATTTTGTTGAAGAAGACGAAGATGGTTACACTCCGACATTCGAGACGACTGCCGTCCCAACACCTCGCCAAACCTCGGCAGCGCATATCGAAGATCTTGAGAATAAGGGAGAGATTGGAGGCTTTGCCGATGACGATGAGTTTCTTCCATTTGTTAATATTGAGGACGATGGGGATTGGGATGAGGAGGATCTTCAAGAGATGAGTGGTGGGAAGTATGAGAATGAGACCGTTGATGATGGTGGCGACTGGTCTAGATTCGCTTACATCCAGTATGTCACGAATGAGGACTACCTTTGCAACTCTGTCATGATATTTGAAGCGTTGCATCGGTTGGGAAGCAAAGCAGATAGACTCTTGATGTATCCGCAGGAGATGCTTGACCCAGAGGCCGAGTACTCAAGCTCGCATGGTGGAAAGCTTTTAATCAGGGCAAGAGATGAGTATAATGTCACTCTTCAACCCATCGAGATCCAACACCGCGATGGACAAGACGGTACGTCCATCACAATGTCCAGCTTCACGTTGTTATCTGACCCTTCTCAGAAACCTGGGCCGATTCCTTCACCAAGCTCCTCGCCTTCAACCAAACCCAATACGACCGCGTCCTCTCCCTCGACTCAGACAGCACAGTCCTCCAACACATGGACGAACTCTTCGAACTCCCCCCTTGCCCAGTCGCCATGCCTCGAGCATACTGGCTCTACAACGACAACCCACCCAAGAAGATCCTCTCCTCCCAACTCATGCTGATCCAGCCCGATGAGGTTGAGTTTGAGCGTATTGTTCAAAAGATGAATAGCATCGGACCAAACGACTATGACATGGAGATCGTTAACAGTTTATACCTCGACAGCGCCCTCATCTTACCTCACAGGAAGTACGATATGCTCACCGCGGAATTCAGAGCCAAGGACCATTCAGCATATCTTGGCAGCGAGAGAGAACATTGGGATCCCAATGCTGTGCTGAACGAGGCCAAGTTTGTGCATTTTTCTGACTGGCCTGTGCCGAAGCCGTGGATTAATGATCCCGAGGTGAGATTGCAGAACCAGCCGGATTGTGCTACGAACGAGACGACTTGTGTGGAGAGGGAGATCTGGAATGGGTTTTATACGGATTTCAGGGATAACAGAGAGGTAAGTTTGGTGCTTGTGGGTTTCGTGACCCAGTTTGCTGACAAGATGCAGAGAGTTTGTGAGTCGTTTGGAACGCAGAAATGGATACACTGGAAGAGAATGGCGAAGAGGAACATGTGACGGTTCATGTGTACGTAGAGATATCATGGGATGATCAGTGTTTTAGGTGATAAAGGAATAAAATGAGTATTATTAATTGCATTGACAGTTTACAATTAATCTTGATGAGTGGTGCTGGTCATTATAGCACCGTGCGCGAATACACAAGTGGGAGGACCAAGTAGAAACACACTTGTCACCAATAAGGGCAAGAAGAACGACATACCTAAATCTCTCCTCAGGAACAACAGTCAAAGCACCTTGATCATGAGCTAGGTGAGTTTCAATATGCTTGTTGCCGATACCAGAGACGGACAGTTTGCCAGCGCTCGCCAGGCAGCTGGTAAACTTGTTAAAACGCATCGTGAGCCTGGCTTTCCGAATCGATGGTGAAAGTGAGGCTAGAGTGAGCATGCACTACAGCCTTCTCAGGTTCGGTCTTAGACTCCTCCTCGTAGAGAAGACGGAAGCGTAAGGATAGTATTATCTGGTCGGTAAAGCTTCTGGTGAACTTCTCCACAGACCACCGTGGGTCAGAGAGTGTTGGTGTTAAAAGTGGCAGTTGGGAGAAGGGAGTTAGGTAGAAGTGAATGTAATTTGCTCTAATCAGGGTTAAAGAAGAGATTTGACAATAATTTACTCGTTGGTATGCCGCCTTTAACTAATCTCTGTTAGGTGCGAGAAGAGAGAAAGGATTTAATTGATTATGTTGAAGTGAAAAGGAGCGACTTTTACTACTGCTACTTGATCCACCGCAGCTCAATATCAAGTTGTTCGTCCCCTTCCTCCTTCATCATCACCCCATTTACATCCCCTTCTTCATCCTCTCGGCCTCCTGAACCTTCGCAAAAGCCCTCTTCGTCTGAACAACACTATGAACCACACAAACCGTCGGAATAACAATCCAGATCGCATTACAGAAAACATAATACATGTAAAAGTAAAACTGCTCCGGGCGACAGTACACAACGCTATGAACAATCTCGTTGAAGTAGCAAGTACCAAAGTACAGCACATCGCCGTAGAGTTGTCCAACGCTGATTATCAGCTGGATCGGGTGTCGCAGAGGATGTTGCTTGACGATACTCCACGCGCAAAAGAACGACATGGGACCCCAGAGGAAAGCGGTTATGGCTTCCATGGGGACGAGGAAGGAATCTTGGGTGAGGTAGCGTGAGTCTGAGAGGGAGTATTCTTTCCAGAGCTGGGCGAAGAGGAATTGTCTGTTGGAGATGTCGACGAAGTTGACGACGTAGTAACCTGGTCCCATTAGTACCATTACCAACCTGATATTGGAAAGGGAGTGCATACCCTCGAAGAACAAATGGATGCACCCGCAGAGGGCAAACCACAGTGTCATGAAAATCTCCGTCTTTGATAGTTTTCGACGAGATTGTTGGATCAGCGATAGAGTCACTCCGAGAATGGCACTTGCGCCAACGACGAAGGATGCTACTAGAGCACGGGAGGATAGTGTGTTGGCGGCATATTGAGGAAGGGCTGCGTTCAATGGCCAGAATGGATGAAGGGGGATTTTGGCTGTTGCGTTGACGCTTTCGACGAGAGTGTCCATTGTGTCTGTATCTGCTGTGAAGTCAAAGTGGAAGTTGAGGTGAGTTTGTTGTTGTTTGTAAGACGAAGCTGAGTACGCCTCTTTTAAATACCCCAATCATCTACAGCCTGAAATTTAGGACACAAAGCCATTCACTACAGCCTTACTCCTTCCCTCCACCCAAACATCTTACACCGTTTTACAGTGGAGGCTTGGCACATCGGAAACTCCAGATCCGCCATCGAACCACTTCCATCTCCACGACAGAAGGATTATCTACAAACTCTCCCATTGGTTAATCTTGAATGAATACCGGAAAAATAAATGGGAAGCGGGAATCTCGGGGCCCGTTTGGTGATCTTACATATTCGTTGAGACTCCAGATGCGAATACGAACGCGTCACTCGAATACGAAAATGTCGATACGCTGCTGTGATTACTACTGGCTCTTCTTCTACCCAAACACCACAGTCTCGGATTTCACTTCTCCAAAATTCCCGATATCATCGCCTGAACTCATTATAAGCGACAGCTCAACCCTCTTCTCAACCGCATCCACCATCACCAACGTCTCCCTCATTCTCATCATCTCAGGAACCCTCTCTATACCCGCCCAACTCGTCCTCGCAGGAATATCTTCCGTCTCCGCCCACGCCTCCCACGGAACATCCTCCATCGCTTCCAAAGGAGAAGCCAAATCGCTAGCAAAGTACTTCTGTCCTTCAATCTCCATTATTCGCTGACCTACTGCTGCTGCACCGTCGCTGTGCCACATTCCTTCTTGTCGCTTGATTTTGTAGAGAAAACTAATCGCGCGACGACGTAGCCAGGGATGTCGGCAGCGCTGGGCGACCATGAAGGCGGGCACGATGAAGCCTGATTCTAGGGAGAGGGGCGATTGGACTTGGGAGGGTGGTGCGTTGGACCACAGTGTTTCTGCGAGTGTGAGGATGCGTTCGTAGTGGCCGAGGAATCTGTCCCATCGAGTTTCTGGGCCGAAAGCGCCTCCTGATAGGAACATGCGTAGCATTGTGTGGTACAGCCTGATGGACACGGCGCCTGTTTCGTCGTGCGGATTCGGATGCTTCTTCTCGAACTGGGCCATCTTGTGCTCCCACGAGCTAAGGTCCTCCATTGTAAGATGCAGCATCTCAAGGTCTTTCGCAGCACCCTCTTCATCTCCTGGATCCGTCGTCTCAGACAACATCATAAGTCTTCTCATCATACCAAATAACGCTGTCCCAGCTTGTCCATAGCTCTCTATCTCCGCGGTCTTCATGTGCTCATCAATCCACACCGTCCTTGGCGCAAGCTTATAAGGATACGGCGCTGATGAATCAGAGAATGTCATGGCCATCAAGTCCAACCGCGTCAATATCTCTGCAGCACCCGACGTCTCGGAGCCATGTCCTGCTTGACTTAGCAGCCGATGACCAGCAATGATGTGAACTTGACTTTCGGACCATCGACCCATCATGTTGGTCACTGATAAAAGCGCAAGACTCAATGCGAGCAGCTGTGTTGGATCCTTCACATCTCGGGCACACGTTATCGCTCTCCCGTAGTTCTCATTTGCCTGCGACCACAATTTCTCTCCGCTGTGATACCCACGGCCTTGCCAGAAAAGCTCATGCCGCTGATGCAGTGCACCAAGCGCAAGGGTAGCGTGCCATACTGCTGGTTCAGAATGCGCCAGCTGTAGCAACTCCCTCGTCCAGAACTGCGACGGTATAAACGATGCAGTAGAAGGCGCTGTTAATGTACGAAACACATCGAACAGCGTAAGATTCGTCGGTGACGCTGAACGACTTCTATCCCGTGGGTACTGCGAAAGAGCCTGTGAGATTGGTCCAATTACTGACATCTGCCGAGCTGCCTCTGCAAGTTGACGTCGTGTAACCGTCGAGTCCTCAGGGAGATACCCATCGCATTGTCGTTTAGAACTTGTACATCTTTGACACGAAGGTTTTGCCAAGTCGCATTTCACACGACGAATGCTGGCCCGATTAGTCTAGTCAATTCCTTAGACTACCACGAAAGCCAACACTTACCGACATGTAATGCACCCATTCCCTGCTTTTCTTGGCATGATGTTAGCGAGAGGCTCAAATTATTGAAGAGATTGAGATTACAGGCTGGGCTGACACATTTGTATTTAATCATCAGCACAGCCACCCATCGCCGTGAAGTGGGCTTTGGACCAGGATCTGGCACATTGACTCACTGTTATGCGTCGTCATATTTAAGGCTATGCTGTGGCTTTTTAAGCATAAGTGCATTGTGAAGGTTTCAATATGACGCTTTGGACTTGGAATCCTTGCCCCAAGGACTGGAAATAGGCTTAGCAAGGAACATTTTTAAATTAATCTCAAACAGCTTAATTGTTTTGATCACCAAAGACTAAAGCCCCAAATGTCCTCTCGTTTCCTTGAACTAGCAGTGATCTACAGTACAGATTGGCTCAGCCCTACCCGTCCGTCTAAAGCAGGGATCAAGATGAGGAGGATATGTGCCGTGCAAACTCATGAAAATTTGTACCGCCTCGTAGATCCAAGCTGCTACCCTGATTTGACTAGAGGAATCAATAAGCGTGATATTAGATCTTTACTTTTGGCCATGTCAATTAGAGCTGCAAAACAGTAAGAAAAGTTTCCACAAGGCATTTCGCATCTCATAAGTGTCTAGGGTATCTTGCTTTCGTCGCGCAATGTCTCTCCACAGACCAAGAGACCGTTACGGGTTGAAAGCCTTATAAACTTGCAAAGCCCCCTCAATAGACTGTACCAGTCCGAAGAATACTGTTAAAACAAAAACAAGAATTGCGACCCAAAACGTATACCACTGAACCGCATTCCTTCGATCGTGCCACCATTGCCGAAGAGTACGTGGCCGAGACTCATCAAACACTTGTTTCAATATAACCAAACGATCATGCCAATAAGTGAAATTCTCAATTTGCCGTTCATCTGCATCTAGTTGCCCAATCTCGACCAGCCGAGTATCGAGGCCGCGCAAGGATGCCTGTGTTTGATACCAAGCTCGTGTGTCCCCATCCCACTTGGGAAATAGTAGAGCCATGGTATTCAGGGTCTCTTCGATGAACTCTTGTGAAAAGAGTGTTGTGTCGCTGTGAGCTGCGTCAAAACCACGGATGTCCCCATCTAGGCCCGCTGTAACTCACCTTTGTTGACGCTTCAAGAAGGAAGCGTGATGAAATACTGCCACTGCCTGATCGTCTTTCAGAAGGCGGAGATGGTCAGCGAGGCTGTTGGTCCAAACGACTTCTATGCCCGCTATCTTGCCCAGATTGTTGGCGTTGAATATCTTCTCAAGCTTTACTTTACTATGCCCAAGGACCGGCTTGCTTTCGAACCGCTCTGTGACCCACTGCTTCAGACTGCCTTTAACCCACTCTATCTGTCTAGATCCTGAGTAGGCAAAGGGAAGATTGCCAAATTCGACCATGAGCAGAATGCGAGCTGCAAGATCAATGGAGTGGCTACAACAAGCATCGCTGTCAGGAAGACTGCAGGATAGTAACAGCTGCTGGTGTATCTCTTCGCGTGTGCGGGAAGTTCTCAATAGCTGAACGATCCTCATGATGTCTGCATGGGTTGCTAGAGGCGTACGGCTCCCGCCCTCGTGAAGCGCAATCAGTTCACACTGTCTGATGTAGTACTTGAAATAGAAATTGAGACCAGACTCGACTTCTGAACGTGGGGTATCCCATAAAGCAGCGGCTATCGCCTGCTTGGCCGGGCCAGAGAGAGCAGTACGGATAAGTGTTCGGTCGAGCATAGTTACGAGGCTGGATGATCGCTTGCGTTCTTACTGCGTGGGGGCTGTATTTATGGACTCATCACTCGCTGAGGCTGAGTCAGGTATGCCAAATTTGCTGGAATACCTTTCTGTACTTTGTGAGAATCGCCCGGTCGTCGATGGTGCACGCCCGCTGCATCATGCTGGACTTAGGTAGTCGATGCATACCTAGTGGGCTGTCTGGAGGCGATGAATTCAGCACGAGCTTGAACACCACTACCAAGATGCAATAAAGAAGCCAATCAAAAGCAGTAGAGCCTGACAACTGATTTCGATTCAGCCTCAAGCCCACAGTCGTACAGGGCCTGGCTCACCTTGAAGAAGCCCAGGTGATAGGATGAGCGATCTCCGGCATGGTTCGCCCTCCACCAAATTGCGCGACTGGCTACCTAGGTACCTTACTTACGTAGGTACCTACTTGTTGTACAAAATATAAGCCCTGTTGCCTTAGGCCCCTAGTGTGGGTGCCCTACATTTTGCAGATCTTTGTCCCAGCGGTTCTGTTCAACACTACGAATCTAGGAACGATTGTTGTACATTTGTAGGTAGGTAGTGCGTAATGGAAACCCCAAATAACTCGGCGGGATGTTATCGACAATAAGCAAAGTTGCTGCATTTTCGTACCTATATCAGTGTCCTACTGCCATGATTCTAGGCTTGGGGTCGAGGCCTCCGAATGTTTGCTGCACCGCCACTGCATGTTGAGAGGTACAGGCCTATAGGATCGAGTCACGCGCATCACCCTTGAAAGAGGCGTCTTAACTCTTGGTCCTGCAGCATCTCAAAACTACACACCACAGCAACTTGAATGATATGCGGGGTAAGATCAGATGGCATTACTAAAGTCAGACGCAGGCCCTGTTCCTGCTGAGGTTGTCTGGCTGGCTCTGCCATAGAATCTTTTATCCGCCCTCTTCATTTTCTCACTATTTTCTGTCGCAAATGATGCAAGATGCCACTCCCTAGAATCCTGAGGCTACAAGATGACAAATGGGAAAATCCTGAAGACTCTATAGGTACTTTCATTGGATATTTGAGTGGCGGCCGGTATCGCTGTTGGGAGGCAGCTGGTCCGGCTCGTCAGGCGTTTAGGGAACTGAGCCCAGACATCAAAGATTTCCTTGAGACTTCTAGCATCCCCCCTACTGATATCGTGTCATGGTCGATGTATATGATCGGGCATAACGAAAGGAACGCAGCACCCAAGGTTTTGATTTGCTCCACGGATGCGAAGGCGCGCAAGAAGATCAGGCAACTTATCAGAGACAGTAGGATTATGGAAAAATACCCTGGCATAGGACTCGGGGACGTTTCAGCACTACCTGATCGCCCTGTAATTAGAGAGCTATCCCGAGAGGCTATCGAGGCTCTTCTCCCTTTTGGTTGCGATGTCGAGGGAGCAGTTCTGGCCGACACACCAGAACCCGCGTTGGGAAAGCGAATTTTTGTCGTCAATCCACACGACTTCTCCCTACGCCCAGCAATGACCGGTCCGATCATCTTGCGTGGCGGAAAATGCTACCAACTGACTGTTGCGCACGTATTCCGGCAGACGAGGGAGCTCGACCATTCATCCGGCCAGCAGATGGCTGAAGATGACTGCGATTTCGATGGCATGAGTGACACTGGAAGAGATGAAGAAAGCCAATACGATGAGATCACAAGCAAAGGAAGTGCAACCCCGGGAGAGATTGATTCCGACAAAGCGTCATTCGAGGCCAGCCTCGACGCTTTCTCTGGTGAGAAGCACTCGAGTTCAAGATCCGAAAGCCCTTCAAGCGACCACTTAGATACTGGACATGATCTACGGCCGAGTGTCGAGTACCTAGAGGACAATCCGGGCTTCGGTGAATTTGATGTATCCCAGCTTCAGTTCTTTGGAAGATTGGCCTTCAGCTCCTTGACCGGGAGTAATCCATCATTGGACTATGCTCTCATTGAGACCTCAAAGATGCCAGACAACGCGGAGAGGTCATCCATGATCACAGGCTCTCTGGTCTCGAATGTTGGGGAGATAGAGGCAGACGACACCAGTATTGTTGCTGCAACATCGCCACATTGTCTAGTCGAAGGCCGACTCACCGCCACGCCGTCCTACGTCCGCCTTTCTGGACAGCATACCTTTCAAGAAGTCTACCCCATACGACTGGGTAAGCCTTTACAAGATGGAGATTGCGGAACCGCGGTCTTTGGCAAAGACGATAACCGCTTTTATGGTCACATAGTTGCCGGTGGCCCTGGGACTAGTATCGCCTTCCTTATTCCAGCTGGGGAGATTTCCAGAGATGTTCAGGCTCGTATTGGCTTTGGCCCTATCTGGATGCCGCAGCAACAACACTCAAAGTATCATTCGCAGCGCAGTGCGGAATTATCCCCTGACACAAAGAACTTTGGTGTAACGCCGATCAGAAACCTGGGTATATGGGACCAGGAAAAGACCCAGAATGACCGGCGTCTTGAGTCCATCGAGTTCCAGCAACAGCTCCAGCAATGGCTCCAGAAAAAACCCAACTCTCAGCCTTCCCAAAACACTTTCATCAACTCCCAACCACTCATTAAACACAAAAGTCGTACAAATGATCTTATAGACCATGTAGACGATGTATTGGGTGCCATGAGTGAGCCGTCATCTGTTCAGACAAGTGATTCTTCAATACCGACAGCTTTACATACACGAAGCCATCCAACATCCAACAATCTGCTCTCAATCGACGAGCGGCTACTGAGACCTAGAGTCGTACTGCCATCCTTATATCCAACCTTAACTGTGCCCGATCGCAAGATAATCTACCTGGGTGATAAGAAGCATGATAAAGGAAACTCCGCAAACCCACTGCCCTCTCAAGACTCGTCAACTATTTCAGCTGCCTCATCCGGACCTCAAACACGCAGTCAACACAGAGGACCGACTGCTTCGCCAGGGCAACAGTTTAGTTGGTCCCGAGCTGGCACAGATGCTTCATCTGCTTCAGATAAACAGCCCAAGCGCCAAAACAGCCATACAATAGACGACATGGAACACGGATTACCAAAACGACTAAGAGTTATACATCAGAGTCTCGCTTTACCTCACACATTTCCAGCTCCTTTCGAACCGTTCCAGCCAGCTACAGGTCTCTCACCAGAGGCGGCGGTTAATGCAACACAGGGGATTGAACGCCGAGCTCGTGATGCTCCGACATCTCCTTCCCATGGCGACATTGTCTCATCAAGTACACAACGAGATGGGCCATCAGGTAGTTTTGCACGCAGATCAGTTCTACCTGGGGATTTTGAAGGTGCCACCGAAACCTGCTTCTTTTGGCTGTTCGACTCGAAGCGACTCTCATCAGTTGAGAGGCGTACATGTCTCGGCCGCAAAGACGAAATATCCCACATCATCACACATGCCGTCGATCACCATGGGCTCATTCGTGGACGTGATCCACAATATACAGCTCGCAAGTACTTAGCAAGCTGTCAGAGCCATGATCCATTTGTGAAGGCGAAAGGCAACTACTGTGAGAAATGCCGTTCGTTACATGAATGGGACGATAGTGACTTTGCGGACCTTACACACCACGGTGTTGTCATTTGTTTACGTTGCTGGCGCAAGTTTGACAAGAAAAGAATGAAGGAGCATATTGCTGGACCTTTATGTGACTACAACGCGGAGCAGCCAAAGGCCAAGAAACTATGGATTTTGTATACCGCATTTTGCTCGGAAACTCAGCTGCCTAGCAAGCCTCCTAAGGATACAGCGCCGCGTAGGTCGGGTTATCTACGTTCTCCGCTAATCATTCGCAAACGTCCACGGCTTGGTAAGCGTCCACGACAGATTGGTCAGGATCGAACGGCAGCTTCAGTCGACAATCTAGACACAAAAAGATCCTCACCTGATACAAAACCTTTACTACCGCGATTGGAGCCTGGTTCTTCACTGCTTCCACCTGCCGCTGAAGAGTCAACGGAACTTTTGTATTCGCCCAAACTGGATGCATCGATGCGGTTCTGGGACGAAGTTGGCGACTCGTTCGTTGATATAGGCCACTGGGACTACATTGGGAGTAACCCAGACACTCAAACCAGAACTGATGAAGCAGATCCTCCGACTACTCAGCTCACAGATCGACAGCAAGAGCTTGAGCCCAAAGGTGAGATATCGCAGCTTTTGAGTGCTGCTCTTGAGAAGGACTTAGGCTATAGAAGTGCTGACAAGGAGTCTGTGTGACGAGGTGCGCCTGTATAATGTGTTTTTAGACTTGTTGTGATGGTTTAGACGGACGCCTTCTTTATTACACTGTACTCACTCGATGACTGGGCTAAGCTGACGGCGTATGATGCATGATGAGGCGAATGATTTGAATACGGATATTTGTGTTCTTCAGTCCGGCTCACGCCAAACAAATTCAGAGTGAACTTTTATTTTTCTTGGATAAAATCTCTTAGTTGTTGGAGGTAAAACTGGATTCAGGTTGTGTTGTAAATATTCACTGCGTTCTACCAGCCTCTCACGCGCTGTTCAAATTAGAATTTTTACTCAAGTGATTTTATATATCCTTTTTATTGACTTACTGGCCTGTTTACTAGAAGAATCCCTGATTCTACATCTTTATTTCCCCTTCTACAGTAATAACTACAAGGCAGTCTCTTTGCATCCAGTCACACAACACACAAACTCAAGATTCAATGTAATTCGTCATTCATAAATGGGTATCAAGTTCTATAATTCACTCTGCTTCTCCTTCTTCTTCGCCCTCAAAACAGCCGCGTGCTGCTTCGTATGAAACTTCACATCATCCGGATACAGCGGATTCCACACAGTATTACACACCTTGCACTCCGAAAACGCAGCTTGCGACGATAAATTCAGTGTCGTTTGTACAGTTGGTGTTTTCACCTTCCCCCTCTTTCCAGGCTTTGAATCGTTGGTGCTCTGTTCTTGGTTTAAAGAGCTCTCTCGAGCAGTTGGTCGAGCGGATTTGGTGCCAGAGTCTTCGGCTTCTGTGTCCTCGCCTTGTGTGTCCTCTCCCGTGTTGTCGTCGTCTAGTAATAGTGTTGATGCACCGCGGAATCGTAATAAGCGTGGTTTCTTTCGGGGTTCTATCCTTGGCGGCTGTGGTGGCGAGGATGGGGGTGTCGATTCGAGTTGAGGCTCGTCGCTCTTTGGACTGGAGGTAACTGTGGATGACGGAGGTACAGGTTTGAAGAAGCTCAAGATTGATCCCTTCTTGACTGGCTCGGTAGTGGGTTTGTTCGTTGTTGTTGATGATTCGGGTGCATTCTTCGCCTCTTCCGTGACCTTCGTCAAAGGCGCCGTGTCTGTGCCTTGAGATGCTGGTTCAGGAGCCATCATTTCTGCTGATACCCTTCGTTTCTTGGTGTTTGGCTCCTTCGGCGAGTCGTCTCGAATGCTTCGTTTGCCATATGTTCGTAATGGTTTGACCCGCGATCGCGGTGCCGATGGCGCTGGACTTGCACACCTGATTGAGTTAGTACATTTCTAGTCCTGCAAGAAAAGCTCAAGAATCATACATCATGGGGGTTGTGCTTCAATTAATTACCATGCTGCCCGATATAAAACCGAACTCGTGATGTTGTCGCGTGGTGATGCTCGAAAACAAGTCACACTGCAATGCCGTATAAAGGGTCGGGGGAGTAAAAAAGGTTATATGAAATTAATATGAGGGAGAAAAGACCGCAAGAATGAAAGAAGGAAGTCAACTGAATGAACAATGGATGAACTCTTGACCTCGAAGTTGAGGCGTGCCGAGGAGAGAAAACAGTTAAAGTGATAGAAGCCCCACTGGACTGGGAAGACGCGTTGAGACGCGTCTGGCGCGCAGTCACATGGGCCCCAAGCCATGATATCACCGCCATCATGGCTGCTAGCCGATGGCCGTGCATTTGCTCCAAATCATGGTCATGATATTATCTGACCAGGTATGAATATGGCTATATCGAATTTGTCGATTGCTTTGAACAATCCTTGATATTGATGTGAATGTCGCACTGCTATTTGTAAAGCTGATATCCTCATCCTCTATTAATTAAATATTACAATATTATGGTATATACTTAGATCATGTCTCGATCTTCGCTTCTGTCTTTCGTTTCCTCACTCCATCTTCCGTCCTATCCATCTCCCTGATCAAAACACTCTTCTCATCTTCATCCTTTCCCAGCACCCAACTCTCCACAACCTCCCTAACCTCCTTAACCTTCCCATGCTTCTTCCTCCCCTGGTCCATCTTCCAAATATACGCATTATACACCACGACCTCCGCAATAGCAACGAGTATACTCCCCCCCATCGTCAGAAACATGCGTGCCGGCAAACTCCACCACCGCGCTGTAACCCATAATGTCCCCGCCACGCCGGCGATGCTGACGAGGAAGTTGATGATTAGCGTGACTTGCTTGTGCACTTCTTCCATCGCCATGTCGTCGCCGCCGAGGTCTAACGCTGATGTTGGGCGGTTTGCGGCGGCAAAGGAGGCGGCGCTGGAGGGGAAGTGGTCTTTGAAGGTTTCGTGTTGGGGAGGAGGGTTTATCATTCGTTCGTAGCTGCGTGCTTCTTCTTCGCGGCGGAGACGGGCCATTAGGGCTCTGTATTCGGGGGACTGCAGTTGGTCAGTATGAGGTACGAGGAAGAGGAGATCTGGGATGATTTACGGGTTCGGGCCTGGGAGGCGGAGGGGGGGTGTAGACGGATGCGCCGCGGAGGAGTTGTTCAAGGGTGAAGTTGGAGTTGCCTTGAGCTTTCAGTTGCTTCCACAGATCGACTATTTGGCCATGCGATATGGGGTTTCCAAGTTTCGGGTCGTCTAAAGTAGGTTCTTTGGTGGGTGGTTGTGATTTTTGTTCCTCTGTTTCGTCGTGATCTTCGATTTGTGGTGTTTCTGTAGCTTCAACAACCAAGAACGCCTCCAGAATGGAGGACGTCATTGTGAGTAGCACCATCTTGTTCTGTAGCACTTCCTATTCAAACTATCGTGTTCGAAAAACCCGTACAAGCGCAGCAGTGATGAAGTCGTCGTAAACTGTGGTTGATGTCAAATTGAAACGTATCAAAGGCCAAAGCTTGATCAACAGGCATCTACTATTTCCAGGCCAGTTCCGTAGCGATTCATCCGCTGACGCTTAGCTCAACGGCCCCATACCCAATCCGTCCAATCACATTCCGTCTCTCGACGGCCTGTTATCGGCTGCTCGCCGAACGGACCCGCAATCCCCCCGGCTTAGCAGAACACAGCTAGAGCTGGAAAAGTTTAGAGAATCGGATCAATCGAGAATCCAGCAGCCATCGATCAAAATTTCCCTCGCCATTGACGATCTCGAAAACTGCCAACCCGCCTACGAACGTCTCGGACAAGACGATATAATCAAACGAATGCCGTTATAACACTCGATTCATTCACTTCGGGAATTATCCATAAAGCTCCGCTACGATGCTCCGTCCGGGGGCCTCGGTGGTGCGTGGCACTATGAACAGACAGGTCTTGTGGACGAGGACAAGCACTGCTGCTCCGGCTTGCGCTCTGTGCAGACAATTGACCGTCAGTCGGTCTCCCTCGAGGATACACAGCGCTTCGTTGCATACCAGTCCTCGAAGGGACTCGGCCTGGGGTGCGGCTGTTCAAGTCGCTTCCAATGTTGTAAGCAATGTCGTTAAGAAGGCTTCCAAGGATGCAATGCATGTCGATCCTCTGCGGACTGTCGCCAAAGAGATGAAGTTCCTTACGGGCAACATTCGAAAGCTCCTTGGTTCCGGTCACCCTTCGCTTGACCGTGCTGCCAAATATTATACCCAGGCTGAGGGCAAGCATGTCAGGCCATTGATCGTTCTCCTCATGAGCAGAGCTACATATCTCTGCCCAAAGACTCCTCCTACGGCTCCTATAGTTACTCACCGTGGCGTCGACACTTCGATATCGCCAGCTCAGATCCTCGCCGATGTGAACCCCTCTGCTCAGCCTCTATCATCTCTCGAACAAGAAGTCCCCGATGCAAACTCCGATATTCTTCCCAGCCAGCGACGACTTGCCGAAATCACGGAGCTCATCCACACGGCTTCTCTTCTACACGACGACGTCATCGACCACTCTATCTCCCGACGTGGCTCGCCCTCGGCAAATTTGGAGTTTGGCAACAAGATGGCTGTTCTGGCGGGTGATTTCTTGCTAGGCAGGGCATCTGTTGCGCTAGCTCGTCTTCGAAACCCAGAGGTTGTCGAGCTGCTGGCCACTGTTATCGCTAACCTCGTGGAGGGCGAGTTCATGCAGCTCAAGAACACAGAGCGGGACGAGAGGAATCCCAAGTGGTCGGAGGAGACCGTCACATACTACCTGCAAAAGACGTACCTCAAGACCGCATCGCTTATCTCAAAGTCTTGCCGAGCTGCCGCTTTGCTGGGCAACACGGATGCTGTGACAGTCGACGCCGCTTACTCGTATGGACGAAACCTGGGACTAGCCTTCCAGTTGGTAGACGACCTTTTGGACTACACACAGAGCGGATCGGATCTGGGCAAGCCTGCGGGGGCAGATTTAGAGCTGGGACTCGCGACGGCACCACTGCTCTTTGCTTGGAAGCAGATGCCGGAACTCGGAGCCCTCGTTGGCCGCAAGTTTGCCCAGGAGGGTGACGTACAAAGGGTAAGTTGGCTGCATTCAGTCTTTGTCCCCGCCAACGAATCACATCTGTTGGAGATAATCCATGCTAACAACGGTCCAGGCACGTGAGTTGGTTCTCCAGAGCGACGGTATTGAGCAGACGAGGGCTCTCGCGCAAGAATACGTGGATAAAGCTATTGCATCAATTGCGGAATTCCCCGAGAGTGAGGCTAAGGACGGATTGATTGAGATGGCGCATAAGTCGCTCAAGCGACAGAAGTAACGGACATACCTACATGAACGGAGGTGGAAGGGCGATGAAAAAGGCGGGATACACGCCGTGTACGAATATCATATCACATCACATCGCATCACATTTATTTTTTTCATGACGGAGGACGAGAGAGAGAAAAGCAACATTTTGGTCAAAAAGTCATGGGAGGGATTTTGGTCAGCTGAGGCTTGACGGTGTACTGTATGTATGATTGTGCTTTAGACTCCCTTTGTTACTACAGAACGAGAACGTCTAGACGGGGACAGGAAAGTGATGCATGTATGATTATTACCTGTTTCTTACTGATTTACTGTACTTGAACGTTGTCATAAGAGGGCGTGGGAGCTTGGCAAGGGGGAGTTAAAAGATGACGCTTTAGACTTTTGGTAACCTCGGGTATTGAGGGAGAATTATGTGTGTATGCTGAACTTGGTGTTTTGATCGAGTAATACCCATGTAATACTCGCTGCGATGATGGAGTGTTGCCGAATTAGGTGATCGAGTAATCCTCAGTTGGACCTTTTCCGCGGGGCCAACACCACGACACGAGGATGGATGGGCTTTTTGATCGAGTAATGAAAACGTGTTCTGCAGTCATTCGGCCCTCAACACGAGAACACCTGCTGACTGATTGTTTGTCGTAGACCCCGAATAGCCTCAGTCCACCGAGGAAAGGGATAGAAAAAGACGAAAACTAGCGAATTCATCCGAAGCCGCACTGCCTATCCCAAGATGGCATTACTCGATGGTTACTCGATTCAATCACCATCGGCGTAGAGGTTCAGTGTCTGATTGGCCAGGCGGACGTCGGCAGTGTCCGATGGACCCTGAAATTCTCGATTTTTTCGAGGTTCGATAAGCTAAGCTTTCCTGTAAGTGGGACCTTGGTTTTGTTGAAAGCCGGAACTGGGATCAGGAACGGGAAAACATGAGGTTTTGATCGAATAATGAATTCGATATTTTCCCCGAGCCGAGAAATCTCGATAAGAGCGAGGCCATTCCCAGATTCCGGGGGTGGCTTTTTCTTCCCTTTCTTCTTCTTCTGTGTAAAGAGAACCAATTGCCTCGTCCTCTTTGATAAGGAAATTCTCCGATCACTCGATCTTAGCCTGTGCTTGCTCTTATCTTGGTCCTCATCTGACGTTTGTTCTTATCTCTGAAGCCAGGACAACCCCACCAATCCCGTGCTCAGCCCCTCCATCAAGTGTAGAGATAAGAGGATAAGAGAACAGGAAAGGCCTCGGCGAGAAGCACGAGGACGAAAAGGGATAGAAACTAGGATTCCCCGGATTTTTTGATAAGCTGTAGCTTTATCTTTTTTGTTTGAGATTGAGTTTCATTCTCTTTCTTTTTTTTCCCCTTCTCTTTATTCATCCCCTGTTTGGTATATCAATCACTGTGTCTGGCCATCATGACAACTTCAAACGCTGAGCAGTACCCTGAGGGTCCTCTCTCTGTCCTTGTCTCCTCTCGAGTCGTCGTCACTCTTCCTGATGACTCTCTTGCTGTCACTCCTGCTTCCATTGTCGTCAGCCCCGTCACCGGAAAGATCATCTCTGTCATCCCCGAAGTCCTCCCCTCAACAAGCTTCCCTGCTGGTACTGAGTATGTCGACCATACTCCTAAGCTTCTCCTGCCCGGTCTCGTCGAC